ATTTATTTTTATTTTATGTCTAAATTCGATGGATATCTGGTTAATATAATAATAAAATATTTATAAATTAATGGTAAATAATAATATTATATTCATAAAGACAAAGAGGGGAGAGTTTCAGATATCTCGTTAGCGGCAATGGTGGCATCAGAGAAATAAAGACAAAGAGGGGAGTGAGACTTGCTAAGATGCTTGGTTTTACAAAGGATGGAAGCACATAAGAACAACGTATAAGATTCTACTTTTCCGGTGAAAATGCCCCCAACAACACTTGAATTTTTTGGCTATTGTGGAAGCATATTTCTGTTTTCGTCGTCCCTTCTCTATACTTGTTCATCGTGAATTCAAACATTTGGTCTTCTGTGCCAGACAGAATGAAGAATCATGTGGTATGCATCAAACCTCTTGGGTGGAAAGTTCACTTCGAAATGCTTCCTCACCACTCACTAGAGGCCCCCTCCTCTGCATCCTTATATACTACTTTGAAGATATATTCAATAAAATTCTCTTCAGGGGAATTTACAGAAGGCTAAGACAAACATTTAAAATCGCAAGTCTCCAGAGGCTTCTTCAAGCGATGAAAGCATGAACCACCATGGAAAGAGGTTACCGAGGGAATTGTCGTTTCACGCCAGTGGATGAATTATCAGAGCACTCAAGGCAAGGTCGATGCTCTTTGAAACTCTAGGTTGGAAGATCAAGAACCCTAATCAAAGCCAGAGATTCAAAAGAAGATACAAAATCAACCTTAGACACTGAGAGGCCTCCCTAATCACTCTGAACAAAATAGGCTAAAATACCACCATCCCTTTCAAATCAGCCTATCAGAAAATCGAAGTTGTAGAGATCAGATAGACATGTAAGCACATTGAAAACCCTAATGACGAGTTAATAGCTCGATTGTGAACGACAAGAAAGAAGGAGGGAAGTGGCAATGATCTGATGACGCATGTAAATTTGCTTGGTTAATGGTAAGTAGGGTTCACCAGTTGGGAATGGTCTCTAGTTTGAGATCTCTGTTTCAAAACATCTGTACAACAATGGCATCCGGGTTCTCTGCAATGCAAATACCTCTTGAAGGATTCAACCCAGCCAAAGATGCATCCTTCCCAAAAATCAATATGATAACATCAGAAATCAAGGGTTTGATTGGTAGCCCATCTCCTTTTCATCACCCAATCCTAGCATTCTTTGCCAGGAAACTAGATGAATCCATCTAGCCAGTGCTATTTAAGCACCGGAAGAACAAAGATGAAGATGCACAGGTTTATGAGTCTCTCCCAAAAGGTGTGTCTTACTACGACATGATGAGGAAGAGCAAGTACTGCATCTGCCTGAGTGGGTAGAAAGCGGCAAGCCCTAGAGTTGTCGAGGCACCCTATGCAGGCTGTGTTCCTGTGTTGATTTTAGACCATTATGTGCCACCTTTCAGTATGTTCTGAACTAGAGGTTCCCCCAACGCAAGGGCCTTAGCATTCTAATTAGCAAGGAAATCTCCCTTCCTCTTGTAGCCAATAAAAAGCCATAAATGTCACCAAGTTTCGGTTTCGAATGGCAAAGCTTTCGTGGGAATCGTAGAATTGTTTTTCATGCTAATTCTAGCCTTGGGAACCAGAAGACTCACAATCGGAGTAACCAACCCTGTTAACGCTTAATCTTTTGTTTCTCCAATTTGTGCCCAAATCTTATAAAGTATTTAGTGGCGATGAAGGATTGTCATTTTCGCCTAGACCTGTTCATGGGCCGGGCCGGGTTCGGGGCGGGCTTTTACTCTTTATTAATGGAAATATGTTAGGCCCGAGTTCGAGCTCGGCCTGACCAACGGGCCTACAACTTGGGCCCAAGCCCGGTCTTGATAAAAAGCCCGAAGCTTGACCTAATAAAAAAAATTAGAAATTTTCCCTATTCAATAATCAATATAAATTAGAATTTATTTATATTAAAAAAAGAATATAAATTCAAAATTTATTTACATTAAAAAAAGAATATAAAAAAGGGAAAAATGATGTGGAGAAGAAGGGTTCGGTTGGAAAAATAAAGGAAAGAGGTGAAAAAAAGAGGGGTATTCGATCAGAGTTTTTAGGTTTAATTATAGGTCGAGTTGGGCTATTTTGGCAAATCTCGAGCCCGACTCGAATTTATTGCGGGCCGGGCTTTTTGGCCCGAGGTTAAGCCCACGGGCCCATATACCTGTTCAAGCCCGTCTGGGGGCCGGGTCGGCCCATGAACAGGTCTATTTTCGCCACATAGAAGTAAAACTATCAAAAAATCGGAGAAAAAAACACTAGCGAGATTCTAGTTTCTTAGGATTCATCATATGTGAAAATTTGAGAAATAATAGACGATAAATTTAATATTTTTCTATTTTTTAATCAATATTTAAAGATGATGACAATTATTTAGAAAGTTTAAGTATACTTTAAGACAATATATATTCAGTAGAGTTAATCAATAAATTTTTTAAACTACTTATTTAATGAATTGACTAAATATACCATTACACGTTAACAGAATGATTAAAAAGACTATTTTACCCATCTTCCTTTTTTAAATTTTCAAAATAAAACTTTTGACACCGTTCTCATATTGCTGAGGCTTGTCTTTATGCTAAATCTCTCGTCGAAAATCCCACAAGCCGGCGGCAGAGTGTGTCGTAGATGGCACTGTTGGCGGACGAGTGTGCCAAGCTACCTCCGTGGAAGAAAATTATGACGGGGACGACCTCTGTACTCAGGGGCCGCTCAAGCTCCATGATACCCGGCTGAGTTTGAGCTACATTTGGCCGGGGCTGGCCGTTATATCCAGCTGAGGAGGCTAGTTGCACGGTCCACTATGACACCAAAAGATAACACTCCATCGACGGGCTTGTGTTGGCAGTGAATTTCCGATCGAGGAACTCCATCAGGTGGCGGTTGAACGTACCGTTCGGTCGGCGGAGGAGATTGTAGGCCACCTTGAAATTGGAGATGAGAATATGTATTCAGCGGAACCACCACCTGTACAATGACAGGATGAGAGAGATATTAGGAATTACTCGAGAATAAGAACATCAACACTCCAATTAAATGAATTTACACTATTTATATGCTTCCATTCTAATCGGAAACAAAAAAAAAATGCAAAATGGAAAATGGAAAAGAATCACACTCCTAACTACCCGACCTGGTGCACAATCAGTGTTGGGATTACACGCAGCGGCGGAAGCTCCCATATTTCTCTCTCGACCTAGTGCACAATCCATCTCTCTCACTGTCGTCGCCAGCGATAGTAAACCTGGATCGATCTTCTCTCTCTCCCTGCCTCCGCTCTCCCCTGTTTCACCGCCCCCTCTCTCTCTACCTCCGCTCTCCCCTGTTCCACCGCCCTCTCTCGACCTGTACGTATTGAACTCCAATCAAGGGTGTTTTTCGGTGAATTGAACCAAGGGTGTTAGAGATATGTGAGCGGGAGAAGAAAATGACAATTTAGTTGGGCAGCTTCGAAACGCTAGAGATGGCAGCCACGATGACGTTGCAGCGTTAAATCTTAGAGGGCAGTCGACAAGGCTCATTTCCCTGAGTTGGCGAGTAGGCTTCCTCGTCCTATGAACTCAAATGCTAATGATATCTGGTCAGCATCTCATGAGGCGGCTTCACTGCGTAGAGTGAAGCATAGCTCAGCTCAGCTCTCTTACAACCACCTATGAGCTGTGTAGGTGGTTGCGTGCATTTTTGTGCGTAGAGTGTGTGGTACGCGTTAGGGCTGTTCACGGGTCGGATTGGGTTGGTTTAATAGTGTTTTTCCAATTAATCCGACTTGGCCAATTTATCTAGAAATGAAATTGAAATTGACCCTGTACTAAGTAAAATCGATCTAGTCAGTTTAGGTCAATTTGGGTCAATTTTGTGAATGATTCTCTTGGTGTGAATGTAAAATATTCAAATCTAAGAAGTGAAGGCTGGATGCCTGAAAATTAAAAATGATTTGATGGATTAAAGCTGAAATTTTATAAATAATATATATATTTCTATAAATACATATCTAAAATATATCATATATATAATATCTGAAATATATTATATATATAATATATATCTAAGCCAGTTCGGGTCGATTCGATTTTCATGTGTGAAAACTGAAATCAAATCGAACTGAACCATCGGTTTATGTTTTTTTGTAACCCAAAACCAACCAGTGCTAAAGAAAAACCAGCCGACTCGAGTTGGATCAAACTGGGTTGGTCAGTTTGGGTCTTGTTATGAACAATCCTACTACGCGTAAGAGCTGTTGTGTAGAGTGAAGCATATCTCTCCCATATCGTCCTATGAGCTATATAACTCCAGCTCGTACTCTATTACAACCACCCATAGCTCAGAGGGTCACAAGAGAGAGAGAGATGGGAGAGTAGAACAAAGTTTGCCGCCAACTCTATTCGATGTTGCGACTTTGAAGAAACTAAACATAGTTGGCTGAAGTCCGTGATAGAGGATGAAAACTATGAGAATAAGAGAAGAAAGAAAGAGAAAAATAAGAGAGAATGAGACTGGAGGTAGGGTTTAGGAAGAAATGGGGAAAATTATTATAAGTTGTAAAGATAGCATGAACAAGGTGTTGCAGGAGGCCGTAAGGGGAGGGAGACTCACGGGAGAACAAGAAAGGTAACATTAATGCAGATGCTGATGCAAAAGTTATAACAAGGGTAAATTGATATTTTTGAAAATTATAACAGTCACGTGATGCATATTGAATGGTTTATGATGAAACATTAACGATAAGAAAAGTATTAGTCAATTGTTAGTAATAGTAATTTTAAAACAGTAAAGTACAATTAATTAATTAACTAAAAAATCATAAGGTAGTTTAAGAAATTTACCGTAATCAATTTCCTAAACTATATATAGGTATTTTAAATAATATATCCTACTTTAAATAACAGAAAATAAAAAAATAAAAAAAAAATTATCGTTTTACCCTATTTTAAATGCCAAAAGAAAAGGCAAAAGTGTCTCTTATCCCATTCACGGGTTGTTTTTCATCGGGTCGACTGCCAGTCTGCCGCCGCTATCATCCTTCTCCGTCCTTCTCCGTAACCCCGAACACCCAACTTAAAACCCTAACAAATTTGTTAGGGTTTCTGTTTCATTTCTTACCTGAAACTTTACTTGGGGTTCAATCTTCATTCGCTCCATTAAAATTTTGGACTCTGGTGACCAGAACTTTCCAAAACCTATCTTCAAGTCGGAAACCCATTTAGGGTTTTTGCTTGCCTAGTTACCGAAGATAAGTTAGATTTTCTAGTCTGTATTCAAAACCCAGTTGGGAATTTCAGTCCTTTACAACCTGTTTGAATTTCAGTTCATCTTTGAAGCCTATTAAGAAAATTTTTAGTTTACCCTCAAAGTCCGATAGGGAATTTGGAAGAGACCTCGTTGGTTTTTCAGTTCATCTGCAATACCCACTTCAATCAACTAGATTTATTCCTTTCCTTCAAAAGAAATGCAGCAACCTGCAACCCCAAGTGCTGTTCCTCCAAGTCCATCAGCTACGTCACCGACGCCTCCTGCTTCAAAGGAAAAAGAACCCCAGAAAAGAAAACTCCCAACCCCACAAGAGCTTGTAGCCCATTATGAATCTCAGGGGATGGAAACCAAGGAAGCTTCGATGAAAGTTATTGAAGATCTCCAGTCCGTATTGGTTCAAGTGGTGAGCTCCGGCAGAGGAAGGAAGGATAAGTTCATGGCGGAGAGTTCACGAAAGCTCGATACGGCCAATACGCGCCTCGCGATTTTGGAGTTGAAGATGGATTCAAAGCCTGGATATGGAGAAACTTTGGCAATTGGAGTTGCTGCTGGTGCGATTGTGAGAGGAGTTGGAAACGCCTTTCCTCATGTTGTGGGAGCAATTGGGCAAATGTGGGATGCTGTTAAAAGCTCTACGAGGTCCTGAACGTATTGTGACGTATGAGCTCCCTTTCTTGTTCTCCAGTTTTGCTATCTTACCGATTTGTCTGTATGGTTGAAGAAGAGAAGAAAAGAATTAACTGGTTTCCTTTACAGCTCAGTGAACTTTCTTTTTCATGATTTGGTCAAGGAGAAAAGAAAAATAATCACGTTTTTTACTAGTGATTGTGATTGAATAAGTTGGCCATTTGAATTATTTTTCCTATCTCTTGACCTCTTGGAAACTTTGGTTTCTTAGTGTTTCTGGGTAGTTCCTGTTTTCATAATTGATTTTTTACTTTATACTATAGGTATTTCTTAATTTTTGTTATTTAAATTGGTAAATATTCTTCTTTTTTTTTTGAATGGAGTTAGAACTTAGAAGCAATAAAAGATTTACTTGACTTCTCCCAAACGCTTATTGATGCAAGTGATGGATTCTCGAGGAGCAGGAAGTGGTTAGTACTGGCATTACTTGATTAGGTAATTTTTTGAATTATCTAAACAGGGGATTTTGGTTTTCTGCTGAAGAATTTCTGTTTGTTTGACCATGTTAGCTATGGTTGAGACTTGAGAGCAGATTTAGCTAGTAACTTGTTTAAATTAGTCAATCTTTCTCAATTATATTGGAACTGTAATGAAGTTTGAAGGTTTAGGAACTTCAACAAGTTGTGCTCGGAACCAATCTCTTTGTGAGAAGATTGTAAAGGGTTATTTTTAGTTGACAAAGCACCTAGGCAGGGTTATTGATATACAGGTTTGACTATCAAGTTTTCTTGATGTTGTTACACTAGGCTATAAAACTTTCAAAGCCCTCTGACCTTCTTCTGGACAGAGTTGTGCGTTTGATGGTCAATTTGGAATGCCATGTTTGCAATTGCCACCACACGGCATCATCCAGAATAGTTGATTTCCATCTTTGGGATATTGAAGAAGACAAGTCAAACACACATTGATAATTGAAATCGGATCAGATGCAAATGAGCTCAGGCACCATATATTTGATATACTGAGGCTCAAGATAGAATCTAATTGTTAAGATGTTGAAGCCTGAAGGGCATGATGATAATTGTCAAGAGTCAAGACACTTTTGAGAAAACTCCAGTGGACTGTAGTGGATCATTTTAGACTGAAATCTTGAGGTGATTGATTGACAAATCCTAATTAAATTCTCATGCATTTTGATTAGGAAGAACCATATACCATGTTGATGCAAAATTGAATTTGTTTGCTCAGTTCATGGATTGCAGTGTAGTGAAAACAAAACCAACATGTTGTCGAACACCCCCTTGATGTTTCAGAGTAAGTTTTCACACTTTTCATCTACTGAATGTTATTGCCATTGATAGCTGTTGTTGTTGCAACAGCAGCAGATTATCCAGTGGTGCTCAAGTTTGGATTAGTGGCTGTGTAATTTATGTATCTCCTAAATGGATGGAGTGCCCCCATCCCTACATGCATATATGATTCTTAGGCTATGGATTCTTCAGGGACAATTCTAGCACTAATAGTTAATGTATGTGCATTCAATCCATTTTTTCCTAATCCAAGATAAGCCTTTACACCCTTTACCTATATGTATAAGGTGTTAGAATTGAAAACATATGTACTATTTTATTAATATATACTTTTCTTTTGATTTATTGACTCCATGCTTTCCCATAATGTGGATTTTCTATTCTTTTGTCCATGCAAAACTGCTTTGTACAAACTACAAAGATGGATGAGGAAAGTACGCAAGCTTGGACATGTGGTGAATGTATGGGAGGTCCAATTAAGTGGATGAGGAAAGTACTCAATGTCGGATGGGAAGCTCTCTGACAATGGAATTTAAGTGTTGACAATGATCACTAAGTACCAGATCTCAGACCCAAATTGACTAAGCAAACATGATTCATTCCAGGTGAACTTGTTTTCATTCTTTTTCTTATGCAACTATGATCAATTATTTTCATTTTTCTGGCGTTCAGCCCAAAGGGCAACATGCATGATAGAGATGAAAATGAGACTATATATTCATTATTTGGGTTTTTGCACTTTTAGTTGTAAGAGCAACAAACCTAAGGAAGCAATTTTATCTTTCTTCAGTAACCCAACCATTGTATATATTTCTTGAGGCAAACCCTTCAGGAAAAAATCTTGCACTTTGAAATAAAACCAATTCGTTTTTATTTGATTTTTGAGTGACAAGAGAACCGTTTATAGGCAATTAATTCATTTACCCGGGTAAAGGTTCTGTAACCCAAGTGTATTTGTACCAATTCTTTTGTTCTTTTGATCATTTTTATCCATAAATTAAATAATTGATCCTTTTTTTCCATAAAATTGATTATTTTGAAAGACAATTTTGTCCCAAGGTGGTAAATTTCTCTATCCACCAACAAATCGATTTACCGTAGGTTCTTCGCAAACTGCAGTAAATTAGTCTTTTTTTTCATTGAGCAACTTTACTTTATCCACAAAATGCCAACCGGCCGGTTGGTATTTGGTAAGGTTTGCTAAAAAAATCTTTGGGATTTTTATAGTTTAGTCCACCCCAAGGGTGGAACTAAGATTTCTAGGGTGGACTAAATCCTGGACGTGGATTGATGTCAAGTCTACGGGCAGGATGCGGTTTATAGGTGGGCTAACTATGAGGGGGCTGCAATTTCAGATTTTTGAGGTGGATTGTAGTCCACTTATTGAAAAGCGAGCATAGCAAATAAATGAAAAAAAATCAGGTCGTATGACACCCCTGTACATGATTGATCTCGCATTCCCACGTTTATGCCAAAGTCAGGCAGGACTATACACCATAGCTAAAATAAAAGGAAAAAAAGATGGTTTCTAGTCCGCCTATGGTCCAACAACCCAAGTTTCCTTTGGATTTCTCAATTGAACCATGATCCATATTAAACTTTATGTTGGGGATCAATTTACACCACATCATTGTTCAATTATTCACACCCATACTAGATTAATTCATGCTACACTTATTGATATAGTTTGTCAAATACATGGTTGATCATGAATTAAAAGTAATCATAATTTAATTAAAAATAAATTTAATTATAAATGAAAATATGTTAAAAGGTTAACCAAAATGAGGGTAGTTGGGTCACTGTAACACAGTTATGTTATATTGAATTCTTCCCACCAACTATCCACACCATGGTGTGGCCCATCTATAGTAAAATGCTGTTGTCGATAGATTAAGGTGTGACTTGTTCCTATCCATGCTATTTTGTGGATAATGATGGTTTATATGAAAGTATGAAACTAAATGCCTCATTCTGTTATAAATGGAACCAAAACAGTCCCATCCACAATATATAGGTTGTGTTTGGTTCTGTGGGCATTTATGAAAAAAATGCTGTTACATTAATGACAGATAGGTGTTGCCGTTTATTGCATATGAAACAATTGTTTGGTTCACTGTTTATCATCAAATAAATGGTAGAAAACTGAAACGCCTTGATTTTTGTGCATGAAGCATTTGGGGAAATATCAAATTTTTATTTTCTCCAATGCCCCAATGTTTCTTGAAACCATGAAACCAAATGCTGATGTGACACACACATAGTATATACACGACATCAAACACCCCCTTAATGGTAATGGTAGCCCTTGAGCTCGAATCCAGTGAATCTATCGATTCATGGGGAGCAAGTACCCTCCAATGGGAAGCGTGCACGTCGCCCTTTTCAAATCTAACAATTCCGTTAATGTTAAGTTCGATTCACTCTCTTGTTAAATGAGTCAATCTAGTTCAATGTTGGGAAGAGAAAAACCACCCATAAAAGCCTCTTTTTTTTTTTTCCTCTCATTCGTTTGAATTCTCCTTCCCCGATTCGAGCCTTAGTCCAAGAGCAAGAGACCACCGCGACGATTCCACCAAGCTCTGACGGTATGGAGCCAACTGGCAATAAGAATAAGTCGGATCCCTTCTTCTCATTCTCCTTACAACCCTGTTATTCCTCTGTTAATATCTTATTCCTTTCTCTTCTTCTAGCAACAGACCACCGGTGGGTGATTTCACTATTTCACCGAACTCCAATGGCATGTAGTCAATCGGCGGTAAACATCCTTTCTTCTCCTTTTTCTTTCAACCTTATTTTTCTTTTTCGTTAACATCTTCTTCCTTTTCTTTTGGTAGGAGACCACCAGCAGTGATTTCATTGTTTCACCAAGCTTCGACAGCGATTGCCTTCCAATTCTGATGGCATGTCACCTAGCGGGAGGTTGGTGCTGTCAAGCTCGAAGAAACAATTGTGCCTCCGAGTTTTCGCAAGCTGTGTCGGCTATGATGAACCCAAACGATATTATGGAAAACGGAAAGAATCTGATTTCCATTAAAGGGGGGTGCAAGTGTTTGTTCTTTATATGTTCCAAGTGAAGAGGTTGATGCCCTTGAAGTCATGGAAACATATGGAGATTTCTTTGGAGCCTTTTAATTTCGAGCTTCTTACAGTTTCTCCGGTGAAGTTATTATCGAGCAAAATCCAATTTGCTCCTATTGGATTAGTTAACATGCTTAATACCAGTGACGCCATTCAATCACTGGAGTAGGTTGATGAGACAAGTTCGGTTCGAATTGGAGTGAGGGGAACCGAAGAAATGAGGTTGTTTGCATAAAAAAAAAAAACCAAAAGTTTGTTTAGTTGATGGTGAATAGGTGTCATTTACGTTCAAGGAACACATGGTTGCGGTTCAAGTTCCATGGCCTACTTCTGTGTTATATATAATTGATTACCAGTTTTAGAATTTGGGATGGGGATCGAATCCACGAAAATTGATGTTTGTTTGAAAGCCAAAAAAAAAAAAAAGGATTGATGCTTGATTTTTATTGAACTAAATTTATGTAATGTGAAAGTGTTCTCTGTTATTTATTGTCTGTCTTGTGCATTGAACAGTAACTTATATTCATTTTTCACAAAACGACCAACTATGATTTTGAGAAAACCTGGTAACCAATGTAAATGAAGAATATGATAAGCATGAAAACCTTTCTTGGATCTTCCAGGGCTACCTATACAACAGTTGTGACGATTAAATTTAATTGTATACACAGAAAGTGGGAGGGAACCAGGCCATATGAACCATAGCTCTTAAAGGATATTCTCTGCAATGAGAATCAAGAAGTTGAAGGAAGGTGGGAAGTTGGCGAAATAGTGAAATCGCCGCCAATAATATCCTGCTAGAAGAAGAGGAAGGAGGAAGATATTAAGGAAGAGGAATAACGGAGTTGGAAGGGGAAAGGGAAAGGGAAGGAGAAGAAGAAATGCTTAATGCTAGTTGACATTACGTTGTCAAAGCTTGGTGAAATTGCCATTGGTGGTCTCTTGCTCTTGGGCCAGGTCTCCGGTGAATATGAAAATGGAAAAAGGGGAATTCGAACGAATGAGAGGCAAAAAGACTTGTTTCATCTGATTTTGTCTTTTTCTAACCAATTGAATCGGATTGACTCGTTTAACGGGAGTGTGAACCAAACTTAACTTTTTACGGAATTACTGGATTAAAAAAGGGTGACGTGCACGCCTCCCATTAGAGGGTGCACGTTCCCCGTGAACCGAAGGGTTTATTGGATTTGCCCTCCCCTAAAGTGCTTCAACCAAACTGTCTTGGTCTTGGGGTTTGTACATGCTTCCAATCCAACCCTCAAATATGGTTGGTTTGACATGAAATCCAGTTTACCACCCTTGAAAATGGCACGTGAGACATGGCCCACCAAAAGTAGGGGTGTAAATGGATCGAATTCGAATCGAATCAAGCAATATCCGAATTTCAATTCAATTAAAAAATTTTGGATATCAAAAATTAATATTCGAATTCGAATCTGATTAAATATTCGAATATTCGATTCGATTCGATTCAGATTCGACTAATTAATTATTTTAGGTAATTAATAAATGTATAAAATAAGTATTTTATTTATATAAAATATATAAATATATAAATTATTATATATAATATTTAAAATTTTATATATTATATATAAAAATTAAATAATCGGTCAAATTTGGATATCTATCGAATAGAATCGATTAATATTCGATTCGATTATGTCGAATCCCGTTGACACCCAAGAGAAAGTGAGGTATAACAATGGGCAATGTTTAAAATTTTGATACGATACGCCTGATACGGGGCATATCGTATTGTATCTTTTAAAAACAGATACAGGATACACATGGAAATCGTGTGTATCATTTTTTATCATGCATATTAGACCCATATCGAGGGCATATCGGAGGTGTATCGACGAAAAAATATGACCAAAAACCGAAAAAAAATAAAGGGGAAAAGTAAGATTCTTTCACCCCCCAAATGACTCTAAAACTCCAAACCTTATTCCTAGAGTGCTAGATTTGCAAAATTTTGCAAGAAACAAGTGTGAATCGTTATTCTTTTTGAAGATTTTTTAAATTTTGAAAAAATATGGTAAAAAATAGGTATTTTTTTTCAATTTTTTATAATATCTTATGATTTCTTTTTTCTTGAATGTATAAATTTATGTTAATCTACATTTCTTACATCCAAAATCACATTTTTTTTGTGTTATCTATAGATTTATGGAAATTTCATGAGATATTTGGGGAAAATATAAATTAACAAAAAATTTGAAAATATAATTTTTTCTCTGCGTATAAAGACTAAATATGTTTTAGATCTATAGATTTATCTATCATATCCATAGAGCAATTGAAATTTCTTCTTTAATATTTTTTTGATTTTTTATATATTTAGAATAAAAATAAATAATAGTTAATTATATTTTATCATTTGATCATACCAATTGAAATTTCTTCTTTAATATATATTTTTTTATTTTTATATTTATAGAATTAAAAAAATAAATAATTAAGTAATTATATTTTATCATTTGATCACAATGATTGAATATATTATAATTATATGGATCATCTATCATATACTCCACAAGGCAATTAAAATTTCTTCTTTAATAAATATTTTTTGAATATATTATGTAATGTTTATTTATTTTTTATATTTTTTATATTTTTTGAAAATAAATAATAAATAATAATTATTAAGTATATTTTCACTTAGAAGTTGTGTTAATGCATATTTTATGGTTGGATAAGAGAGTTGGTTTTTTCCCATCCCATTAAATATTAAAACTTAAGAATTATAATTTATAAATTATAGTTAAGTATAGGAATTTTTAATGAAATTATAATTAACTACAATATATTTCTTCATAAAACCATTAAAATGTATTAATTTAATGTATATACATCTCATTTAGGTCTTATATTTAGTATTGTTATGTATTTTTATAATTTATTAAAGTATTTATAGTGTTTCAAAGCGTATCTATACATATCTTAGTTTTTCTCCATATCGATACATCTCTTAAAATTGTCTTTCCAATACACTTGGCATTTCCAATACTTTAAACCTTAAAAATGGGATGTCAACGACCCGTCCACGAACCCAAAGTCATACAATTTCGTCATCTATTTCATAGAACTTACTTTAATCCATGTTTCCTTGACCGTGTAAGAAAAATCCAAAAGAGCTGTGTTGGCTTTGATACAGCTTCTCAGGAATCTTCCATCAAACTTCTTCATTCTGGTCTAAATTAAAAATAAAATAAGATAAAGCTCCAAGTGCTCAACTAAAGTCTAAAGCTGCTTTGGCTTTTATATATGTAGTCTCCTCAATCCTCATCAAAGATCCGAAGCACCTATTTGCTGGAACAGATTTTCCTTCATCTCTTCTTTTGAAGCTTACCACAGAGAAATCCCATCTTCGTTGCTGGCGAGACTGCAACAACGATTCTGATATGATCAACGACAATGATGTCATGAGAGAGGTTCTATCTCGGCTACCCATCAAGTCTCTCCTGAGCTGCAAGTGTGTCTGCAAATGGTGGAACTTCCTCATCTCAGATCCAATCTTTGCCTGGAACTATGTTAATCGAAACCCTCATCTCTTCGTATCCGGGTTCTTCCTGCAGAAACTTCTGTATCTTCAGCTGTATCCAGACTTGGAGTTTGTTACCCTTGATGGAACGATTGACGCCGCGCCTGAAGCATCTCTGTCTTTCATCAATGATGAAAAGGGTGTCCTCATACAGCATTCCTGCAACGGCCTCTTGTGTTGCAGCAGCTCCCGATGCCACGAGAACGATCGAGTGTACTACATATGCAAGCCCACCACCAAGCAATACACTGTTCTACCCAGACCAATGGCAACCACAGTTTTCGGAATCAACATAGCATTTGATCCTTCAAAAACCCTTGATTACAAAGTAGTTTGCATCTGCGACTCTGAATTGTCCTCCGACCATTGTCAGATCACCGTCTATGATTCGAGGACCATCTCGTGGAGGCTTTCCGGCAGCCCATTTCTCCAAGTTGAAGGCTTGCTCTATGGCCGTGGGGTGTTCTGGAATGGCTCTCTGCACTGGATTGGTGTGAAGGAGACTTCGCTTCGGTTCGACGCAGAGCAAGAGCTCTTGGTAGAGATGCCTAGCCCTCCTTTGCGTGAAGGGTGGGAGGAGAGGAGGTTGAGATATTTCGGGGAGTCGAGAGGCCATCTGCATCTGATCGAAATCTATGGTCCACGAACCACCCTCTTCGATGTGATGGAGCTGAGGAAGGATTACTCTGGATGGAGCTGAGGAAGGATTACTCTGGATGGTTCAGTAGCAGCTGCATACCCAAGTATGGTGAGGAGCAATGTTAATGTTTCTCAGCTGCATCGCTTTGTATTCTCTGTTCTGCATCTTGATCGCAGCTCAGAGGAAGGGGATTCATTCTTGGTGCTGCATATACCAGGTAAATTCATCTCATACAATCTGAGAGACATGACATTCGTCGAGCTTCGCAGCTTGTCCACTCGCCTCATGACCATGGATATGGTTCTTGGGTTGGAGTATTCATGGGGTGATGTCCATCAATATGATAACACCCTCTTTTATCTCTAGCTACGCATCATCTACTTGAGAGATTTCTTCTCTTTGATCAACAATTATATTCCTTTAATCTCTCTGTTTTTTTCCTCATTCTCTGTATGTTATGTAAGGATGTTTATAATTTAAGCTCCATCCTTAATTTTGTTCCTTCTTTGTTTATTCTGATCCGAGTTTAGACTTTACATTTCAGAGGATTCAAATTTGTAGTCCATTAATCTTTAAGGGGGCGTTCAGAGAGGAAAATTTGGTCAATGAGATTTTGATTTCTATTACCAATAAATCATAATTGTACGTGGAAACCCAAAAAAAACTTGTTCAATAAAAAAGCCCTTTAAATAATTGACTACCTCTGTTGACACTACAAATAGCATTCTTTTTGCATATTAGAAATTCATTTCAGAGCTGTAAAAAGGGTATCTGATTGTCCAAACTCGAATTTGAAGTTCAACCCATTAAAGGCATTCTGAATTCAATCTTTTATAAACCCTTGGATTAAATATGCATCCACCCTATTGGAGACTGGTTTGGCAGATGGAAGTGAAGTCCCCACACCACCCTAACCTCGAATATATATTAAATATTATTTGTATTATATATATCAAAATATATTTAAAATTTTTTTATTTATTTTAAATAAATCTTTTTTTCAAAAAAAATTTAAATAAAAAATATGAAAATTTGAGTCCCTAATGGAGAACCTGTCTTCGTCAGAGATGGGAAGTATGGTTCCCACCCCAAACCCGCTCCATTTCCATTCCTAATATATATACTTAAAATTTATATTGTATCTATTAATAAAGTTTGTTCATATTTTATGTTTTTACTAAATTGTCATAGAATCAAACTTCAATTCATTTTGTTCATGAAATACAAATATCAAAAACATATTCTGTTCACTTTATTAGTAACATAAATATTTTGATCATTTTTAATTTAATTCATTTATGATATTCAATATCTAATTGCAATCTGAATTCGAATTCAAAATTAATAAAAATCTGATTCAAATTTGAATATAATAAACAAACCAATAAAGGAAATGTCAGGATAGGAGCATCCACAACAATCCATGGACTGTCGGACTCTGATTCAGGATTTCCATCTACTTTCTCACATCACATTCACAGCCCATTCCTCAATTTGGTTTATATGGAAATCAAGGCTGTGTAAATTGTGGGTCAAAATCACCTAAGAAGACAAGAGAAACTTGTTGACTGTCTTCTTAGTTCTTTGAAAGAAATATCAAATATGGATACCTAGTTGTGAGCACCAGCTGAAATTACTATGAAGCATCCTCAGTCATTGGAATATAACATTGGATTTTCAATTGTCTGTGTGGTCCTTTGATCCCTATTATGTTATGTAAATTTACTGGTCAATCTCCTCAGTCACCTTAATCTAATGGTTATTGGACGGATTGGATGGACCAAAGGGACATAGTGGATTCGACCAATCCGGTCCAAAATATTTATTTATTAGATTGGATTTGGCCTGACCTGTCCGTAAAAAAATTATATTGAATTTGGTTGGATTAAGTCAATACCCGGTTCATTGATATAAGATAAGATTTAGGTGTTAATGAACTGGGTTAGGGTTAAAACCAATCTAAATTAAAATGAATTTGAACAAATTGGACAATCTAAACATTGAATTGGAATGGTCCAAAATAGTTCAAATTATTCATTGGATTGGATTGGACCTGGTCCATTTGTAATAGACTTACATTGGGCTGAATCGGATTGGATTAAATCCAATCCAATTGACACCCCTAATTGGGGGTGAGGGTGATGGTGATCTATCATGAGACAGCCCGCATGAAGGAGGACTCTATTTGATCTCTTTTAAGAGAAAGGAAATCAGCAGAACAGGGATCTTAGATGCCTTATAATTGAGGCTTGAGGCTTAACACGTATGTCTCTTGCAGGAGTGAGCCATTGCTAAGCCTTATGCCTCATCTCAAAGTGGAACGTGTGCATCGTATCACACATATTATATAGGGGTGGATTCAAGCCGAGCCAAGCCGAATAGTTAGTTAATGAACAGGGATCTTAGATGTCTTATAATTGAGGCTTGGGGCTTAATGCGTATGCCTCTTCGGGAGTGAGCCATTGCTAAACCTTACGCCTCATCTCAAAGTGGAACGTGTGCATCGTATCACACATATTATATAGGGGTGTATTCGAGCCGAGCCGAGCCGAATAGTTAGCTATTTAAGCTCGGCTCGCCAAGGTAATACAAGGCTCAAGTCAAAAGCTTGTAAGCTCGAGCTTGACTTGAGAAAAATGTTTTATAAAAATAAAAATATGTATATAATATTTTTATTTGATATTTAAAAAATTAAGATTTATAATAATTAGTTATTATTTATATAAAAATAAAAATATTGTATATATAATAACAATAATTTATTATTATTATTATTATTATTATTATTATTATTATTATTATTATTATTATTATTATGTATGTAGCTATTCAAGCCGGCTAGCGAGTCAAACGAGCCGAGTTTTATTAGGCTTGAGCTCAGCTCGATTAATAAACGAGTCTATAAATTAGGACCAAGTCGAGTCAAGCCGAGCTCAAATAGCTCGTGAAGAACTCAACTCATGGCCACCCCTAATATTATATTAGTATTGAGGGTCTTGAATACACAAATACTGAGAACTTGGAGGCTTTTGATAGTTTCAAATTGTAGTAGTCATCTGCTGAAGAAAAAAGAACATGTATGAAATTCAGGATATGCCAGGCATCAGGAGAAACACCATTATTTGGCAAGACCGTCTATTAAATAAATGTTTTCTTGGTTTGTGTGAAAAAAAAAGTTGCTTCCAACATCCAATCGTATATTTATTAATACTAAATAAATGTTTAGCACCCACTTTCTCATTTTTCAAGATAAAAAGTATAAAATGTTTATTAAATAAACAATCACATTACTAAACAGCACCTTAATTTTTCATATTATGTACTATATAGTAGTAGAATATATATAAATTTCTTTTTCTAATTATCTCATGCGATCTAAATGTATAAAGGATCCGGCACATGAGAGAAAACTCTGTTTAGTTTCCACCATTGAAGTTAGACTATGGTGGCGGTTGGCAAATATGAACTTTGATCTTTAGAAAGCAAATAAAAAAAAAAGAGAGAATCGATGTATATTGTACAAAGATTTCAGGGTCAACTATGAAACTGGAAAAAAAAAAGGAATATGTGAGAATCTCTGGATGCACAATTTTGCATGTAACTCAACTGCTCCAAGCACCTAATGAGGCACCAAGGTGCTAGACCTTGCCCATTTTAAGTTATTTTTTCATATCATGTGCTATAGTAGTAGAATGTATGGATTCCCTTTTCTAATTAATTATCTCATGCAATATAAATATAATTAATGGCTCTTGCACATGAGAGAAAACTCATTTAATTCTATCATTGAAGTTAGATCACTATGGTGGCAATTGACAAATATGAACTTTCATCTTTAAAAAGCAAAACAAGAAAAAAAAAATGAAGAATAGTTTTATCTCTAAACCAAGGTTTAAAATATCACAAGGTATTGATGTATATTGTATAATACGTTTCAGGGTCAACTATTAAACTGAAAAAAAAAAGAATATGTGAGAAATTCAGGATACACAATTTTGCATGTGAGTCAACTACTTCAAACACCTAATTAGGCAGTTGGCACCAAGATGTTTGACCTTGCCCATTTTAAGTTAACTTTTCATATCTATATATATACTAAAGTAGAAACATGCCACGTCATGGCCTTATACCCCAATGGAGAGCTCTTAGCCCCTCTTCATTTTAGCCTTTCTTGCTCCCTCATGAAGCCACTTTATCACTCCCTTATCCCTCCCTATCTGATTTTGACATCTTAGCATGCCTGGCCCATCCCTCTTTCTTCTATGTTTATCCCTTTGAATATCCCTTCCTAAAACTATTTCTAAAATTTCTCTCTACCAAAATCAAATCTATTCTAGACAAATGACACCACTATCCCCCACTTTCTCCTAAATTATCTATAATTCCTATTTATCCTATCCCTCACTTTTCATCTATATCTATCAAAAGTAAGTTAGAATTAAAAAATATAAGAATTATTTAAACATTACAATGGAATTATGTAATAACTTTAAAATATTTATTAAAAACACAAAAAATTATCATAGATTTAATAATATACATATTATTAATAATTTTACACTTTTATGAAATTCATAACGAAATTATGTACTAACAATAATTTTAGAGTTATTCAATTTAAATATTATTCAAATAATAAAATTAAAACTTAAAAATATTATTTAAAATTTGCAATAACTAAATATTATAAATAATAAAACATTAAAAATAGATAAATATTATATAACAAAATATTTAATATTGTGTAATAACTTTAAAATAAATAAAATTTAAATAATGAAAAATTTTAAATGTTGTACATTTTATTTAAATAATTAAATAACTAAATATTTTAAATAATGAAATATTTAAATAACTAAATATTTTAAATAGTTAAAATAACGAAATTATGTAATTAATAGTATAACTTATAATTTTATAGATTATGAATTCAATAAATAAGTAATATTAAAATTACCAAATAATGATATTATTTAAATAGATAAATAATATTGTAAATAACTATTTTAAATATTAAAAAAAATAATAACTAAGTCATATTTTATATATTATTTAAAAACAAATAAAATTGATTAAATAAATAAATTAAGTAATAACCTTAAAAAATTTATGAAAACACAAAAATAATTATAATAGATTTAATAACATTTGATAATAATAAGATAAAATATAAACAATTTAAAAATTTTTAAATATTATTGAAATAATGAAAATTAGATTAAATAATTTAGAGGCACTAAAGCTTTCAAATAACAAAAATAAGTAGTAACTTTCAAAAATATTTTAATAGATATTAAAAAAACATAATAATAATTGCAATTATTGATGTACTAATAATAAAAACATTACTTCACTTATATCAATTAATAATTCTAGAAAATAAATTCCAGAAAATTGGTATTTATCAATAATAATTTAAAATATTTATATATATTTATATATACTAAAATTTATATTTATTGTATTTTTAGTAATTATTTATTGTATTTTTGTGATAAATATATTTTCAATATTTATGTATAAATATATTTTTGTTTTGTTATTTAATAAAAAAATTTCAATTATTATTGGAGATTAAACTATTGTTGTTTATTAGAAATTAAACTATTAGTTTAGCTAAAATTAAGAGTGATCGCGGGTTGGTTCGGTTTAGTTGTAGGTTATTTGGTGAACCAAATTGACCTTGCTGGGTTGGGGAGTTGGTCACTTGAAACCACCCAACGAACTTGGGTTATATTGGTTTGGGTCAATCTTCAGTTTGGTTGGTTGGTTCAAAAGATTTAAACTTAAAAAATTAAATTTAAAAATTATAGTGGTATTATTAAAAATTAAAAATTTATAATATAAAATATTTTTGACTAAGGAATATGGCAATTTTCCCACTTTTCCACATACATACACTGAAACCCACCAGAAATACTAGAAAATTGACCAACTCGAGTTGAGTTGGGTCGTGTAAGTTGGTTTCACCGGTTTGATGAACAACCTAGCTGAAATTAATTATTCTTATTTTTGTATTATAAAAAATTATTAAAAGTAGTATATAAAATATAACTAATTATTAATTATTTAAAAGGTTAAAATATAAAACAATTATCTACTCTTATGTGCATGCTTTTATTGTTTAGCTTCCGTTTGACAAAGCCCGTGCATTGCAAGAGTCCCTCCTAGGTGCAACTTGAGTTGGTTGGGTCGGGTTAAGGGTCAATCCAATCCCAAGTCTCAAACCTCAAGCTCAAGCTTGGTCCAATTCAAGGTTAAGCCTGGATTTACCAATCTAGACCCAACTCAACCTTAACTAAGCATATCAAGCTTAGGGATGGCGATTTCTACCCCCTACTCGGTGTATCCACCCCTACCCACCATGATAGGGTGGTTTTTTTTTTTTGTTTGAGGGATGGGATTTGGGATTCTTCAACTCGTATGTTATGGGTAGGGTATAGTATTGGCTAAACTCGAACCTTCAACCTGCATATTATTGGAAAGCATATAAACTTTATATACTAGGTGTTGAATTTAATAATATTTTGAATTATATGTAAAAGGACAATTGATAGTTTATGTGTTCTTTTACATCTTAATCGAATAATTGAAAATTTTATTTATTTTACTTATTTATTACTTTTATATAATAAGAAATAATAGGAAATTAAATGCGGGTTTTAAATCCAACCCACTCCTACCCTTGAATATAAGGAGGGTTTTGCATTTTTAATGTGCAAGGAGGGTTTGGATTTCAAAATCCAACCCACTAGGCGGGTAGAGTCTAGAATTTACAAAACCCTCCTAGAACCCACTTTGTTGCCATCTCTGCTCGGGCTAGGCTTGGGCTTGGGCATATTGAGCTTTGTATTCCTCATTGCTCTAAGAGAGGGAAGTACCATGGAAATCGGGATACGAGATACGCATGGAAATAGTATCATATCTTTGAAAAAAAATACAAAATATGAATGGAAATTGGGTGTCTCGTCTTTTTTCATGCATATCGGACCGTATCGGGGGTGTACCAGGGCATATTGGGGGTGTATAGAGGCGTATTAGTAGCGTATCGACAAAAAATATATGGCCAAAAACTAAAAAAAATAAAGGGGGGAAGCAAGCTTCTTTTCCCTAAAATAAGCATTTTTTTTCACCCCAAATGACTCTAAAACTCCAAAACTCATTCCTAGAGTGCTAGATTTGCAAAAATTTGCAAGAAACAAGTGTGAATTGTTAATTTTTTTGAAGATTTTTCAAATTTTGAAAAAATAAGGCAAAAATAGGTAAGTTTTTTCAATTTTTTATAATATCTTGTGATTTCTTTTTTTCTTGAATGTTTAAATTTATGTTGATCTACATTCTTACATTCAAAATCGCAATTTTTTTTGTGTTATCAGTAGATTTATGGAAATTTTATGAAGATACTTGGGAAAAATATAAATTAACAAAAAATATGAAAATGTAATTTTTTCTCTACCTATAAAGACTAAATATGTTTTAAATCTATGGATTTATCTATCATATACATAAAGGAATTGAAATTTCGTCTTTAATATATTTTTTTATATTTTTAGAATTAAAAAATAAATAATAATTAATTATAATTTATCATTTGATCATAACAATTGAATATATTATAATTCTATGAATGATCTATCGTATCCACAGACTAATTGAAATTTCTTCTTTAATAAATATTTTTTTATTTTTTTTAGAATTAACAAATAAATAATTAATTAATTATATTTTATCATTTGATCACAATGATTGAATATATTATAATTCTATGGATGATCTACCATATCCACAAAGAAATTGAAGTTTCTTCTTTAATAAATATTTTTTGAATATATTATATAATATTTATTTATTTTTGATAATTTTTGGAAATAAATAATAAATAATAATTATTTAAACAATAAATAAATTTTAATTATATTTTCACTTAGAAGTTGTGCCAATGCATGTTTTATGGTATAGGAGAGTTGGGATTTTCCCATCCCATAAAACATTAAAACTTAAGAATTATAATTTATAAATTATAGTTAAGCATAGGGTTTTTAATGAAAATATAATTAACTAAAATATATTTTTTCATAAAACCATTAAAATATATTAAATGTATATACACCTAATTGAGGTCTTATATTTAGTGTTATTGATGTATTTTTATGATTTATTAAAGTATTTATAGTGTTTCTAAGTGTATCTATGCGTATCTTAGTTTTTCTCCGATATGCATGTGTATCCCGATATATCTCTTAAAATTACCTTTCCAATACTTTGAACCTTGATAAGGATATTTCCAGAATTCGACAATTCCATCATGAATGTGAGCACAGTCTTGTGAGCACCGAAGCCGATTTCAGTTTCTTCATCTTCTTCATTGAAAAAGGAGCTATACCCTTCTTTTACCTTCCTTTTTTTTGGTGGTGCAAACATGGTACTCAAAACTTGAATAATTTAAATTGAACAAATTCCACCCTTTCACAAATGTTTAACCCCAGCCCGCCCAAGTTGCAGGCTTGCAGCTCTACTTTGTTCCTTCATTAATTCTTTCTTAAGCAAAGTAGTGGCGCTCTTCTTGAGCAAAAAATGTTACCATATGAAATTTGCTTTCCTGCTTTTTTGGATCTCTGAATGTGAAGTTATTGTTTGGGTATCTGAATGTTGCAACCCTACAATCGAAATGAATTATTATTTAAGAAAGATAATTATATGAATTAATAAACTAAGTAATTAATTATATAATTGACAGCATTCGATGATTCAACAATGAGCGATTTCTTTAGAAGCATTACCAAATGCACTTATCTCCGAGTGAAAATTTGCTTTTCAACATTTAGTGGCGCACACGCAATTAAGTGGTTCCTAATGCACGCTGAGTTTGAGAATTAGTAAAAGAAAGGCGAGAGGTTTTGTAGATTGTTCATGTAATTCTTCTCAAGTTTCATCTTTCACCTAAAATGATTAATGATCCATAGTCACAAACTCGTGCACAAACATGATTCAATAGCAACAAAGCTAACTAATCTGGTTAGTAAGAATAGACATTCGTTAAATTTTAGAACCTCAGTTTGGAATTTAGATGCTAGATCTGGATATAAACACATTTTGAAGTTCAATGTTTTCAAGTTTAGAGGTCAAAGTACAAAAGAATTCAAAATTTTATCTTCTTTCAGAACTGGTTTGCATATTTCAGGTTCTTCAACGTCTTGACACAATCATCAAGGTTGTATTCAGTACCATTGTTATTTCTACCTGAAACCTTTTCGGTTGATCATTGATGTTTATTGCTAAACAGCCAAATTGACACTTCAATGGTACCAAACACAACCCAAAGGAGATATTTATTAATCTTTCATTCCCATGTGTATTGACTAGAATCCTGCAGCCGCATGGATGCACAGACCAATTATGATGCTTCAATGGCACCTTGGACTCCTTAAGTTTGATCAGCAGATCCAATCACAAAAATAACCATCATCATCAATTGTCTGTTACTTAAATAAATCCAGCAGAAACCACAAAAATTATATGCAATAAAGAGTTGAAATTTTAATTCCATTGTTTTGCTTCCCGGTTTAATGATACAGTATTGAGATCCCTCTCCATAGATATTAATACATTGCTTTGTACTCTGTACACAGGTTCAAATTAAAAGATAAGGAAAACTTAAGAAAAAACAAATGAAAGATTATTGTTTCCCTTGAATTCAATTACCTCTATAAAGAATTCAACAAAACTGAATTTACAGTTGAGAATAGAGGAGTATATAACCTGTTACAAGTATGAAACTAAAGAAATAATAAGAGACATTCTAGGTGGTTGGTCAAGTTTAAGCATCTTTGCAACAAGTCAGCACACAGTCCTCCAGGAAGTTGGTAAGCTGAGAAGTATATAGATGTGGGTCATTTCTGAAGTGGTCAACATGGGGTGTGGAGATAAAGTTGCAGGCCCGGACCTCATGCCCTGCCTTTCGCTGCTCCTCTATAAAAGACTCCACAGATTCTACTGGAATGACCCTATCTGCAGAGCTGTAGATGTATAACTGTGGACAAGATGGTTGTTGTGATGAGAGAAGACCCATCACATCAGAGAGCCTCCTGCAATTCAACAAAATGAGAGAATCAAATGCAAACGAAGAGAATGTTGCAAATCAAGCAACAAGAGCATGATTTATTTATGGATTTTGTAAGCTATTTTTTTAAATGCTGGAGAAGAGAATTATTTGTTAAGAGCTATGATTTATTCACTTGAAAGATGCAAATAACAGCTATTTTCCAGGGTTTTATAAACCCAGGTAAACACCCTTCTAGTCACTAGAGCAGTTTAATCTATATTTCAAGCAAAGGGAATTGTCTGTAATTCTGTATTGGTAATAATAGGTCCGGTAAAAGCACAGCTATGCAACATGACTATTCTTAGACAGGAACAGGATTGTACGGTTCGGTGTGCTTCACATAGTCAACTACCGATATCATAAAAGTGGTTAACCAATCAGGTGGTATTCATCAAATTCACCTGGGGGAGGGGGCTGATTGGTCAAAGCTCTTCCGGTATCATCACAGATTTGCCAAAATAAAACTACCTCATGATGAAATCAGCTTCAGTGCTCACACTGTTCGCACAGTCCCTTGCAGCCTTGCATTGGGAATATCCCTATGAAAAAAACATACAAGTACGGAGATATTCCCAATGCACGGTGTAAAAGGCTGTGCAAACAGTGTGAGCACGGCCTTGTGAGCACTGAAGCCGATATTCCTCGTGGTAATATTTCAACATGTTTTTATATGCAAATCATGGAGAGCGATTTTCCAGAGACAATATAGTAAACATCTGTATGTTACAAGTTGGACATATGAGTGGAAGTGGATCAGTTGAGTTATGATTAAACCTAAAAACCAGTGATAATTAGGAAAAGGCACTTAACCTGTTAACTGTTGGAAGATTAAGAACCACTTTAAAGAACTTCTCCAAAACGGTCAGCAAAGCTGTTTCAGTTGCAGCAGGTTTGGTTTCAATAGAAGTTTTTGTGTCAACTAAGGCCTCTGCACCAGATTCTTTTGATCTACTTAATCCTCTTGTTGCAATGCTCTGCTTTTTCAAAAATGCAGCAGAGAAACCTGAAGCCCAGACCTAGAAAATGAAATCAGAAAGGATGACATGTTTTTAGTATATTTTACTGACCAAAATAAAAGAATGACAACCCATCCAATAATACTTGTAAGTCAAAACTATTCCAGAAGACACATGGATTACGGAGTGTTGTGCACATTGCATAAAACGGAATTATACTTAAGAAAATTTACCCAGACAAATTTCCATAACATCACACTCCCATAGAAATTCAAAAAAGGAATAACCAGAAAAGGTATAAAAGGCTATACAAACTGGGTGGGGTGTCACCCAGGAATCTCCTAAACTATCCAGTAAATTAATTCTGGGTGTGTAATTACAACTCTCAACCAATGCTTCAAAAGACAAAGATGTGAAATACAAGCTTCAAGGGCTCAGGCATAAGAATCAAGAGACTTCACTTGTTAACTCATTGGAAGCATGGATTAAAATGAGAAAGTTTTGGATAAGTTCATAATAATAAGAGATACAGTTTTACAAAGAGATACATAAACCATTGAACCTTCAAATAAGAAATACTAAAAATTAGACACAGAAAGTGCCTAATTAAGTTTTAAGTCTTCGTTTATTTGCAAATTGAAAGGCAATAACATCTCATCATCTTTTATATCAAAAGACCATAGAAGTTATAGAATCAAGTTCAACAGACAGTAACAAAAATGTTATAGTTATTTATTTGTGAAAAAAACCTTTCATCACCCATTAGAGTTATTAATGTAAAATAAAATATCAAAGAATTTTAGATATAGATGCATTAAATATAATGAATAAACTGTTTGTCTCAATAGAGAGAAAATATGCAATTTAAAAAGTAAAAAGTTGTATAGGAAGTTTGGCCTTGTGATACCCCATTTTAATGAATGTATGACATGCATGCCCCTAAAAGAGAGTATTATGCCTTGCACTTTGATCCTAAGCACCAAAACAATTTTTTTCCCTTTTTTTATCAGCTAAGCATCAAAGAAACAATCATATCTGAGGAGTATAAAATTCTTTGTGAGCATTTACAGGATATCATCATCAATCATCCAAACCTTATTCAAAATTCATGGGTTGGCTAATCCAGTTTTGCCATTTCTTTCTGTTTAATGCCATATCCATTGTGAAAAGAAGAGCATTTACAGGATACTGGACAAAAAAATCCACACACAAACCAAATCTAAAGATAGTACCTGAAAAAAGCAAATGTCTAAATCATCATGCTAAAAATAAATCTCATGGAGCCTAAATTTCCTTTACCTGTGGATCAGGGGCTGCAACAGGAGCTGAATCGACAACACAACCTCTAATCCTTCCCATCAGGGCTGGATCTTGCTTCTGAAACTTCTCAAGAATAACTCCATACCTAAATTACATACAACAGAAAACATCCAATTAAAAAGTTTTGATTAAAACAAAGCAAGTTAAACAGAGGTTCTGTATTAGTGTAAGAATGTGTGTATGCGTGCGTTATGAGAGAGAGAGGCTAACGTTAACCATCCGGTATTGCTAAAAGTGTGGAAAACCAGGTTCTTCCCATGCTCTTCTTCTAACCAATCAGCCAGATGGTTCACAAGCAATTCAATGTCCTGTTCAACTTTCCCACCAGCCTGATAACTGAGGATCTCAGCCATGGGAAAAGTGAAGGTAATTGCATGGAATCCTCTTGAAGTATACCAATCTGCATATCTCTTCAGATGCTTCTGCTTTGCTCCCAACCATCCAAGCAAAACCACCACTGTCCTAGACTTTGAAGATGAACAATCTGAATCCCGCAAATCATATGATTCTGGTAAATGCCATCTGTACAGAACCTCAGGAGGCAATGAAGGGGTAAAATGTTTAAATTTAATTGGTTTGGGGGCTTTTGCCAATTTTGCAGAATGATAAAGCGTAAGAAGGGCAGGAGCAGAAGAAACAGAAGAAGAGTGTGAATTGGACAGAAGACCCCATGTACTAGAATGACATGAATGAAGCAGTGGATGATTAATGTTAGGTAGGGGAATCTGGACCTTCGTTGCAAATGACAAGCTTGTAAGTTTAGAAACAGAAAGGTTAGATATCCATGGTGCCGATTCCTTTACTGAATTTGGAGATTTGGTATTAGATAATTCTGTAAATAAAGTAGGATCTGATGATCTAGGAGGCCGTAATTTGTCAGAGATGTCTGCAGAGACGGAAGCTATGGCAGCAGCAGCAACTGCCACTAGAGGTCGCTGAAGGAGTCCAGAGAAGGAACCCATATCGTTAACAATCAAATTGTCTTGCACCAATATCCAATAGTCTTCATTAGAGAAAAAATAAGTTTGCAATTGGTTAACTGCAACGTAGATCGCACCAGATGCGCCAATAACTCAATGACCCACCAACCCAAAAAGAACTTCAATCTGAATAACCTGCTAGAACCAAACAAATGCAAACGAGATTGTTAAGAATTTTGAAATCCAACCGAACAACAAGAAGAAAAATACTTAAGGGTACAAAGATGGTTAAATGGGACTTCATCAATTGAACTAGCCTGAGTAAGGAAGCAAACGACTAATTCAAAACGCGGCTAATACAGGTCAAACAGTTGTCATGATTGAATGGACAGCAAAAATCCCACGTTTTTTTACACCTACAAATAATCAGAGGAATAAAATAAAAAGCTTTTGCTGAACACATCATCTGTTGCCATCCAGATTCTACACCAAAACTTCCATCAAGATTTCACGCCCGAAATAAATTAACGAAGGAAACTTCCAAAAAAGCATGAATTAAGCAAACATATATATCATAGTCAAACAAAAAAACGGAATTCAAAAACAACGTTATTTATCAAAAAAAAACGTTGTCTTTTAGCTTACCAGCTAAGCTGACGATGCAGTGATGATAAAGAGAAGAGGGATCGCTTCTGTTTCGTAGTTGCTTCAAGATAAACGGGCTGTCATGAAGTATGACAGCCCGTCATCTCTTATAGTGTGGACAAACGAGGCAGAAGGCGCCCTTCTTCCTCTCCCCCTTCCCCTCCCAGAGTTCCTGCCGTGACAAACAAAAATAAAATAAAATTATTATAAGAAATTTGACAACAAAAGGTCAGAGATTTAACCACTTAACATTAACAGTTAACAGCACAGTTGAGATGTCAAAAGCGCTAATAATTTGCTCAATTGGTTCGGTAATTAAGGGTAAATTTGTCATTTTAGGAATACGTGTCTCCACAAAAAAAGGCAGTACAAGTTCCCAACCGCTAAAGCAAAGAGTCAAAAGACTCCCCAAATCGATAGGAGCCATTAAATCGCAACTGAATATAAACCAATATAAAATGACGATTGTACCCTTATTCCTCTTTCGACACGGATAGTCGGAGACAACGAGGAATACGCTTTGATAACATCGAATCTCTCTCACTCCCGCGACTTTCTAGAAGAGAGAGAGAATCGTGATGAGAACTTGTTTACCCTTAATAACCAGAACCAGTTCTCAGGACGGTTTCCGATTCCGTGAATAAGTATGGGAAATTTTGAGAAATTACGAATTCCTGCCAATTGAAACCCTAGAAAAGCAGACAAACACGCCTAAATTTATTTTCTCTCGCTTCTGGAAAAAGAAAACCGATATCGAACAGGTTTCCTTTTATGCTCATCACGCTTCAATACCAAAATTAAATCATAAAAAACCTGGGAAGGAAATTAGAAATGCAGAAACGGAATTGCAACCACAGGTATCCATTGTCCCAAGTCCCAACCAAAAATATCTCAGCATTTCCTTTCAGAACCCAGATCAAGCGAGAATTGCCGAAGAGAGAGAGAGAGAGGAAACAAAAAGGCGATTGAACCCCAAACCAGGCAGGGGGAAAAAAGAATTTTACCAAACGAATGGGAAGAACAATTAAAGAAAATGAGGATTACTGATTATTGGTTAAATGTAAATGTTGGATGAAAGAAAATCTGAGGAACAAAGATAAAAGCAAAACAAATCTGACCTTCAAATTCTGAACATGGAAGCGGAGGCTGCCATGGGAAACCGGAACTTTGGTTTTGATCGGGGCAGAGAGAAAGGAAATTAGGGTCTCCTCTTCTCCTAAACAGACTGGTCCAGACTCTTTTATAGATTTTGGAATTCGAAGCAGGAGGTCGTCCTCTTCCCCCAAACTCGCGCGTCCCGTTTCCGTTACGAAACTTGTGATGGGGAATTTTTTAAGGGAAAAATTCTCGATTAATACCTTGTATTTTGGGTTTAGTGTCATTTGGCCCTTAACATTAAAATGCAATAATGTGTCCGAATTTTTAATCTAAGTACTTATCGTTAATCAATCCGTTAGGTGACATTTGAAAATATACAAATGTCTTTCAACTGTCATATAATTCTCTTTATCCAAACATTAAAAAAAAATGAATAGTCTCAAATTCTTGTCTTATTTATTCAAAAAAAAGAGTCACCCAAATGGCCATTAAGACATAACTTCAACTTTTTTGAATAGGAGAGGCAAAGATTTGTGACTTTTCATTTTTTATGGGGTTTTTACTGTTCAGTCCACCCCCACAAATCTCAACTCCATCATATAGTTGGGGTAGGTTCTAGCTCGGAATTGAAGCCAATACACTAACAGGTATTGGTATTTAGGTAAAGGTATTTAAAATTTTGAATTGTTTTAGGTTTATAGTAGAATTCAGAATTCTGAGGTGGAGTGCATCTATTTATTCATTTTTTATCAATGTTTGGATGATTGCTAAAGAAAATTAGATGACACTCGAAGGGCATATGTGTCTTATCAAATGCCACTTAGTGGCTAATTAATGGATTGATTAAACGACAAGTACTGGAATGGCATGTTTTAAATGTTTGAATTCTGAATTATCGCATTTTAAAGTTTAGGGACCAAAGTGAAATTAAGTCTAAATATAGGGAGTCCCTTTCAGCCTAAATCAAAGTTTTTGGAGGTAGAAATTAAGACAGCTTTGGCTACAACTAGGAGACAAAAACACCTCTTACCTATTTTTCTAATCTTTTCTCTTCCCAAACTGATCTGGACAACACAGACCTTTCCACCTTTCTAAATCCAGCTCTAGTGTTTAAAGAATTTTAGGGCTTAATAGGTGCGGAGATATATCCTTTGTTCAAGAATTAGATCTTCATTAATAAAAAGAAGCTTAGAAGATTGAATCATACATTTATTTGTCTCATACCAAAAAATGTGGATTGTTTTAAGGTATAGATTACGGTCAAATCAGCTTATGTAATGTTTTGTACAAAGTACTTGCAAAAGTCATAGGCAATAGGCTTGGATCTCTTCTTAGACAAGTGTGTCACTCCTGCCCAAGCAACCTTTGTGGTAGGGAGATAGATGATGGACAACATTGTAATCACCCGGGAAATGATTCATTTCGTGAACTCCCATAAAAGGGGTATATGCTTTTTATCTTTGAAATTAGGTATATCCAAAGCCTATGATAGATTGGAGTGGTCTTATCTTATCAAAGTCTTGAATGGCTTAGGCTTTTCTCCTCTAGAAGAATTAGGCAAGGGGACCCTCTTTCTCCTTACCTTTTTTATATTCTAGCCATGGAGGGATTATCCAGAATGTTGCTTAAAGCAGAATTTGAAAACAAGTTCCAAGGGATCTAGATGTCTACTGGAGCCCCATGCATCTCCCATCTCTCTTTTGCTTATGATATTATGTTATTCCTAAGGGCTCAACGGGAGGAAATTGAAAACTTGAAAGGTGTTCTGGACCAATTTCAATCCTTGTCAGGTCAGTGTATTAACTTTAATAAATCAGGCATCTTCTTTAATAAAAATATTCATCCTAGGTATCAAAGAATGATCAAGAGACAACTTCACATGCGGCCCCTAGACCCTCGCACTAAGTACCTTGGAGTTCCTATGTGTTGATTTAGGAACAGAGACATAATGATGTAACCTATATCTTAGAAAATATCAGTGCTTGGTTAAAACAATGGAAAACCTTAGCTTTAAGCCAAGTAGGAAAACAAACCCTAATCCAGTATATCCTTCAATCCTTGCCTATCCATGCCATGAGTGTGATAAAGTTCCCCCCAAAACAGTTCTTGAAATGGAAAAAAATAAGGAATTTTTGGTGGACGAAGACAGAGACCAACCCTAACCCTTTTAGATGGTGCACTTGGAGCAAATTAACTCAATCAAAGTAGAATGGGGGCCTTGGTTTCAAGAGTCTGAAAAATATAAGTTTGGTTTTGCTAAAGAAACTGGCTTATTGGCGGTGCGGTACCTGAATGAACAAGATAAAATTTGGGCTTAAATTTGGAAGTTGAAGTACCTAAGAAATGAAGGTATTTTTCTTTATTTTGTCAAGTAGAATAGTTCAGGCTTGTGGAAAGCGGTGGTGACTCTCCTTCAAAGAGTGTCTAAGTTTCATTTGATCTCTCAACCAGTTTCAGCTTCCTTAAGGAATAAGCCCATTTCTACTCTTATTCAAAAAAGGAAATGGGATGAGCAGCAATTACAATCTCACTTTAAACACTCAAGAGTACCAGGACATTTTCAACACCCCCATTTACCCAGCGGATACCTCTACGTCCTAGAGGGAAGTTCGCGGCGAAACATGCTTATGCCCATCTTTCTAATCTCTCAAACTCTCCCATTTCAGAGATTCAAAGGAAATGTTTCTGAGTTTCAAACAGATATGGAAGTTGACCTTGCCAACTCGGTACCAATTATTTTTGAAGAGGGTAGTCAATAATTATCTTCCTATAAAACAAAGGCTCTTTTCCAATTCTCAGGATGCAAAACTGTGACCAAGGCCTAGAATCATGTGTTCTTTTATTGTGTTTTTGCTAAAGCCATTCTTTCTGCAGCGGCTCTCCAATCTTTATATATTATATTTGGCATGCTCAAAATGAACAATGCTTTAAAGATCACCAAGTTTCAATCCATTGGGTAGTTAAGTTTAATATGAACATCAACCCAAATATTCAGTTAGGGTTTGACTATGATATTGAAAAGATATGATATTCGAAAAACATCTAACTAATCAATTAAAATCATAAACGTGGTAGCGAATTAGGTATTATTTATCAAAATTCATAGATAGGTTTTGATTGGTCAAAACTCTTTCTATACCATATCTTTTCCGCATCATAAATTTTCCCATTCGGTTAATTTTATTTTCTGATAGAGGCTTTATATCTACATCATCCTGTTCTTTTGGCATTGTCTGCTTATCTAACAGCCTCTCCTGTGTAGGTATAGTTGGTGGAAATTAAGGCTCGGAATTGGAGGCTGAACTACAAGCTGTCTACCAAGGAACCTCTTTTGCAAAACAGACAGGAGCTAAGCATATCCTTTTCTGTTTAGACTCATTTATATTTTCATTTTTCATTGTTTTTTATTTTTAATTATTTTGACAAAGATAATAAAATAATGAATAATTTCTTCTAACGGAACAAAAACATTTGGATGAAAGAGGATGCTGGAGTGACCAATAAAATCAAGCAAAACGTCCCCATGATTTGCTTTGTTTGGAGCATTCCAACGTCCAATTCTCTATTGTTTTCTTATCATCGCGAATTCGTGATGTTTCATCTTTAAATCATAGTCTCTAACTTGATGGAAGACTCTATCTTAATACCAAAAACACTTCAATTTGCTTTATCTCCACAGCCCAACCCACTATGTAAGTTGGAAACACCATGAGTGGAGTAACGTAATGACTTGGAAATTTCTAAACATATGGTGACCAACTAGTTGTATTCATGAAAAGAGGGAGTGGGAGTTTACGAGAGGACTGAGACCCCCAAGAGATTGATGTTATCTCTTATCTTTAAAAGTTAATGTAATGGTGAAAGACCAATCTTGTTTCTCATTGCGAGAGACCATCAAGCCAATTCAAGGAGCTTTTTCTTGTTTATTTATTTAGTTAGTTAGTTATAAAGGTGAAGTGTGGTGCTAGAGACATAGCACCACCGAAGATCGAATCCACTTTACAAATTTCACGAAACATGGCAATAATCCTTGGCAATCCCAAAATTACAAGACAAAATGATGTTTATTCAAATGTTTTCATTTAAAACATTTAAAGTAGAATGAAGGATAAAATAGTATTTTTCCACCTTTTCGTTAACGGTTAATGGAGAAACGTAAGGCTTAATTTGAAAAGAGTACAAATACAAATATGTAGGGTGCAATAAAAGGTTTAGGAATACAAAATAATACAAAATACAAGGTTTTACATTGTACATATTTTGTATTTGTATTCTTTTCAAACTGAACAAAAATATACTTTTAGTGATTTTTTAAACAATTGGGGTAGGGTTAGTTAATTTCCTAAAACATAGAGGTAGTTTAAGAGATTTCTCCTTTACTAAAAGAATAAACCAATATATGGTTGTGCCTAGGTGGAGTTTTTTATGGGGAAATGGGTGATAATGGCATTAGTATGCCTGGGCCCAAGCAGGCATCTAGGCTTGCCTATATAAACATTTTAAAATATTGAAATTACTTTTGGAGTAACTTAAAGAGAACACCCTACTACTTTAGGGGCAGTAAAACTTAGACCCCAAATTTTGTTTTGCAAGGAAAAACCCTAACCTTTTGTATTCCAAGACTTAGCCCCCACTTTTTGCATTCTATCATTTAATTTCATGAAACATTCTCTTAAACATTTTCAAATCCCCAAACTACCTTTATGTTATTTTATGAAGGGTAATTGTAGATCATTATCATGTACTTTGGGGCTAGTCTTACTTCGGTGCCTGAAACTCAAAACGTGCCACTCCAATACTTAAATTCCCCAAAACTACTACTTTAGTCCAAAATTGTTAATGATGCTAGCTCCATGTGAAATGACATAAACACCCTTTGGGTTTTGAATAAGTGAGAGAAACATAATTAGGAAATGACCAAAATGGCCTTCATTAAATATATTTTCACTGGGAACGAAAGCCACTATTCATTGTATGTATGCCCTAATCTCTTTGTCAAAGAACAAGTTCTTTCTATCAGAGAAGGTAGAGAGAAAATCATTGTTGGAGAATACGACAACATTAATAGAGAAGAGTTTTTTAATACACCACCATTCTCACTGTCGTTGTAATCTATTTTGGAGCTATTATGTGGGTCATGTTTACACCAATGAGAGGTGCAAACAGATTTATGGCAATATCATTGTGCTCATCCCAGATGATGT